GTGCATGTTTTCCAAATTTTACTGCTTCATCTGCTAATAAGCTGCATCCACGGTCTGTTGAGTGTATTTTCTTAAGTTATGCCCATGAATATAAGGGGTACCGTTATTTTGATCCTATTTCATGTCGTATCTATATTAGCAGAAACGTCAGATTTTTAGAAAATATTTTGCCGTACACGGATCTCGTTCATACCACTGTGTCTTCCTCTACTGTGCCCTCTCACGCCTCTCTCATATATTCTCCCGACCGAGACCAGCAGCTCCATGACCATACTTCTCCATCGCCATTCCTGCTACAGCCACATCATGTATATGATCTGACTCCCTTACCTGATTGGCCACCATCGCACGGAGACTCCCTCTGTGGCGCTACAGCCCCTGCACCCATCAACCCACATTCAGTCGTTACTTCATCCCCAAACCTCAGCCCGGACCCCGACCAACCCACCAGCTATGCTCCCGAGCTCAGTGCACCCTCACCTGCGAGTTCTTCCCCGATTGTTAATATTCATCCCATGCAAATCAGATCAAAATCCGGAATTTTTAAACCAAAAACGATTTTTAACTTAAGCATAGTTGTTAACACACCTGATCCCACATGTTTTTCTTCTGCAAATAAACATCTTAAGTGGAGAGTTGTTATGGCAGAGGAATTTAATACCCTTATCTCGAATCATACTTGGGATTTAGTTCTGTTTGATGGTACTAAGAATGTAGTTGGGTCTAAATGGATTTATAAGACTAAGTATTTGGCTGATGGGTCTGTTGATCGCTACAAAGCTAGATTGGTTGCTCAGGGGTTTAATCAGCAGACAGATATTGATTTTATTGAGACTTTTAGCCCTGTTGTCAAACCCACTACGGTTTGTCTTGTTCTTACTTTAGCTGTGTCGTTTGGCTAGTCCATCTGCCAACTTGATGTGAAAAATGTGTTTCTTCATGGTCATCTTACGGAGGAGGTTTATATGCATCAACCACCTTGTTTTGTTCACCCTCAGTTTCCTCACCACATGTGTCGGATTCGTAAAGCTATTTATGGTCTAAACCAAGCACCTCGTGCTTGGTTTCATCGTTTTAGTAGTTTTCTCTTTTCTCATGGTTTTGTATGCAGCCGTCTGACAATTCCCTATTTATTTTCAGGCGCAATTCCGCTATTATTTATCTCTTGCTATATGTTGATGATATTATTGTTAATTGCAATTCCCCTAAATTAGTCACTCATTTTTATCTCTTCTGGCTAAATGTTTTGCCATGAAGGATTTTGGGGATTTGCATTTTTTTTCTTGGCATACATGCGTCTCGGACTTCGTATGGTCTGTTTCTCTCTCAGCATAAGTACAAATCTGATCTTCTTCTTCGTTTTCACTTCCATACTTTAAAACATGTCCGCTCTCCTCTACCTAGTCGTACTAAACTTTCCCTTACTGATGGGGAGCTTCTTGCTGATGCCACAAAGTACAGAAGTATGGTAGGTGCACTACAGTATTTAACTTTGACTAGGCCAGATATTACTTTTGATGTACACTTGGTTTCTCAGTTTATGCATGTGCCTCGTACTTCACATTTGTTGGCTGTTAAACGCATTTTCAGGTATCTCCAGGGCACCTCCACACATGGGCTTCTGGTACATGCTTCTCGGGGACGTCCAGAAATTATTGCCTATTCAGATGCTGACTGGGCTGGCTGCCCGGAGACAGGTCGTTCTACTTTTGGTTATGCAATTTTTCTGGGTCTGAATTCGATCTCCTGACGTTCCAAGAAGCAACTCACTGCTTTAAGATCTTCCACTGAGGCCGAATACAGGGCCGTGGCACTCACAATTCAAGATACTCTTCATGTTCGGTCGGTCCTGTTTGAGCTTGGCTTTCCCGTTCACGATCCCACTACGTTGTGCTGTGATAATATTTCTGCATCATATCTCTCAGTTAATCCTATGCATCATACCAGAAGCAAGCATATTAATATTGACTATCACTTTGTTCGTGAACGGGCTCATGGTGATGTGCGTGTCCGATATGTTCCTACTAAGGCTCAGCTGGCAGATATTTTTACTAAGTGCTTATTTCCACAACAATTTGCTCTTCTTCGTGACAATCTGCGCATTGTTCCCCTGCACAGCTTGAGGGGGTGTAATAGAGTAGTTTTAATATTTATTTATTATCATATTACTTACATTTAATATTAAAGTCACGGTTTAATTTTAAAGTCACATTTTAATTGTGCTCACTTTTTAAGTATTTGTTACAAATTACTTACATTTTGATTACACTAAACTCATATTTTCTTACATAAAGTGTCATTGTAGTCACATTTTTATATATGTTGCATTGTAATTGTACTCACGTTTAAACATTTGTCAGAATTTAATATTTGTTACACTTTAAGATGGACCGTGGTAAACATTCTATAGATATATGGGTAACATCAACCGCATCATAAGGAAGGAGCGAGATTGCGAAAGGACATCATAATTCACGGAGCATGGTAAAGGACATGTCATATCTTCTTGTCAAAGTCGAAATGATTTTAATACAGATTAGTATTTGTATTATTTGGAGGATACTGCTCATCATTTGTATTATTTGTGTGTGATTGTACATTATATTGATGCTAATTGGGATATGCATAAACGTGTTATCGTTTTTCGAAAATTTAATGACCGACACACCTGTGATAATATTTAACTTGATATAATTTGATTGATAAAGTTTATGCTATTAGTTTTGATACTGTTAGTAATAACATTGTTGTTATACCTAGATTATGTTAATTGTGTGGTCCTTCTACTTTGATGGGTATGTTTTTTATCAGCGTTGTGCATGTCATATCTTCAATTTGTGTGTAAAAGATAGTTTAACCGCATTAGAAGATGTTGTGGAAAACGTGAAGGAGGTATTAGACTGATTTGGAGCTAGATGTGTGAACTATTGTGCTTTTCCAAATGATTTCTTCATTCGCTGGAATGCTACTTATAACTTAATTGATGTTCTTCTTAGATATGAAGTTCATTTTCTCTCTTTTTAAAGGATTGCTAACTATATTATAAATCCAGCTGAGATGGACAATACGCAAAGAAATTGCCAAGTTTTGCTTTTTTTTATAACATAACTCTAACTTTTAGTCATGTTTATAAACTTACGGTAAACCAATTTTTTGTTGAAACTGTTAATCTCGTCGGTGCTTTTTCTGAATTTCAACAGGCCCCTTACGTTCATTATTTTTGTGATTTCATGAAAGAAAAGTTTTTAAAATATTTTACATATAGAGTAAAATTACCTCGTTTGGTATTACCTTTGTTCTTTGAACATCGTTTCAAACTAAATGTTTATCAAAATTGTATAGTGTACTATTATACTTGGTTTTTCGGTCCATTAGTTATGTACGAAGATAGACTCATAGATTCTAAAGAGCAACACAATGAGGTTAGTAACTTACTTCATCAATTATTTAATGAGTTTCAGCACATTGCGGTAACACATCCCCTCCCCCGAAACCAACTGCTTCTTGATCTGAAGGAAACCCATTTTTCAAATCTACATTTGATAATCTTATGGGAAAAAAATAAATCAACTCTCGTTGTTGCGCAAAGCTCAATTAACGAGTTTTCTTTATATCTAATTAATGTTTCCTGTTGAGTATGAACAAAGGGATGATTTTGACGTTCTGAAATGGTGGAAGCATAAAGAAGGAATGTTCCTGATTTTATCGAAAATGGCGAAGCAACAGCTATCAATGTCGATGTCAACAGTTGCCGTGAAACAAGAATTTAGCACAGCCGGCAACATCCTCATAGATTATAGAAGAAGATTAAACGCACAATCTTTTGAAACACTCGTTTGCTTCCACGACTGGTTGAACACCTGACGCAAAAATTCAAGAAGTGTGCATCACCTCTGACTGCCACTTGACGGAGAAAACAACCGACACTGGTGAAGATTCCGACTGATTTTTAGCAAATGTATTTAATGTTTTGAAATTATTCTCAATTATGAATTGTACTTTATATTTCAATAAATATACATTTAATTTTTTCTAGCACTTGTGAAATATTTTTAAAAAAGTAAAAAAAAAATTAACAATAGGCCTAACCCGACCTGGTACCAGTACAAACCCGTGTACTGGACCTGAAATCCTATGCTCCAAGCCCGCTCAGTCCAATCCGTCCCAATCCACCCCTACACATGGGTAGCTCAGTTGGATGAGCGGCGGGAAAGTTAAAACATTGATCAAAGATCGAACTCGCACAAGTTACAACTTCTGTGTACTGGGCTGAATCTCTAGTCGCACAGGTACAAGTCTCGAACATTGGACTAAATGGGTCACCGTGACTTACAACCTCCCAAATACCTTATTGGGTCGAGGCATGGAGGCCCTTAGGGTTGGTGACTCAACCTTTTGGAAGAGGAGAGTGAATCACTCGTCACCAATGCATCTACAAGAGAAATGAGTAACTACCATCAAAAGTAGCAACTTCATTAAAGAGGCTGAAACCATTCTTCACCAGCTATGCGAGCAAGTGATTTTACCATTTATATTTATAAGAACAAAACCCTAAACACACAAAGTAAGAGGTCATAGATTCAATCAAAACTCATCCCAATAAAAAATATTAACATTTAACAAAACAAAATACTCTAACAAAGGAGAAAATAGAGCCAAAATTAAAAAAAAAAAAAAAAAAACTAGACACTCTAGAAGCAATCCAGCAAGAAACTTTTTTCTGCTAGACTACACAGTGTACTACATTAGTGCTCCCTTATTAAGTTGGAGAAAGTCAAATGCTGGTTAAGGAAACGTTCAATTTCGGGATTATTGAACTTATAAATAGATTAATGAATATATGGTGGTGAGGCAGTGAGCATTTCACATTTGGACATCCATCAAACGATTAATTATAGATTTATAGGGCGTTTGGAGCGCAGAAACTATCCTAGCGCCTGACAGTGCTACCAGTCTAAACTCATACACATGCAGTCATGCACGATGCACTGCAATGAAAAAATGAAAAAACACTTCATCATTCCACTAATCACCATTTAAACATCAAATCATAGTACACTATGCCAGACTTCCAGTAAACGGAACCTAAACTGGAAAACTTAAACACAGCCACCGGCCCACAGCAAAATTTACCACGACTATATAGTACATATATCCTCGAGTCCAATGACTTTCTGCAAGTACTCTGCTTTTCATAAAAAAGAAAATACAATAATAACTGAATATTACTGCATTATAATAATTAGACACGGGAATGATAAACTTGCAGCAAATGCAAGATGGTAGTCTCCAAAACAAGGAGAAAAAGACTGCATTAAATGTTGTTAAGATTTTTAAAAAGGATTCTATGTTCTTTACTCGGAGAATTATATCACTTTCTTGACCTATAATCAGCCCTCTTTGCTTCATCCTGAGTTGAAGGAAATAGCTCAATGTACCTTGACCCGATCATCATATTATCCTTACACATAGCGCTCTTTGCCTCCTCTGGTGACGAAAATTCCACATAAGCCTCCCCGGTAGCCTTCCCATCAGATCGATACCCAATACATACTTTTTCATCAGTCAGATTGTAATCCCCACCAAAAAACTTGATAATATCTGATTTATTGACAGAAAAGGGAAGTCCACGGAGTTTCAACGTTTCAGTGTACTCCAAGTGATCCTTGTTCTGTGTCCGTTTAGGTGGTCTATGGGCCTGTGGTGGTGGAGAACTATGGTGATGGTGGTCGTGTTCGAAACCCTGTGACTCTCTCATCTCAGCAGCAATAGCCTGATAGTAGTCCTGCTTCTTGCACCTGAAAACCTCCACATACCTTCTCCCTATGTTCTGACGGTCTCTCAGGAGGGCATTCTCAGCATGCATGTTTCCGGCAAAGAGTACGAATGCCTCACCAGAGAACCGACCATTCTTGTTGACCATGAACGCATCAATTATATCCAGACCAGCAAAAAAGAGACGGATGTCAGATTCTGAACAGTCAAAAGGGAGACCCCTGAGACGGACCACAGGGAACGCTGATGCAGATGGATATCCACGGCCGAACGGGTAACCATTTGGACCAGTGTTCACTGCAAAGTAGGGATTTGATTCTGTCATTCTTGGTCTCTTTGAGCCGATGTCGTACCCGTCTCTAACCCCCCCGCTCCCCAACATGGCCCTTCAATTATTCACACAGAAAATAGACAAAAATACCCCAACTCAACCTTGTTAATAAAACCATGCCCAACCCATGTGGTTTCTAAATCTTAGACTCATACCTTCTATGAACATATCATGAACATAAAAATGCATGTATGTAGACTAGTGAAGCAAGCAAAAAAATATGCATGCCAAATTCAAAAAAGGAGAACGGAAAACGTTAAATATTAAGAAATTGCACTTAAAATCCACCCTAATAATATCAAGAGAAGGCAATTACAAATAAGGCTCCTTCTGTCCCACAAAAGGAGACCTGTTTGGTTAAGATGAAACTTTGTAATAATTACAATGTACAACTCATGAAAAAACTTTAGCTCAATTTAACTATATTGCAACTTTTTTGGCCAATTAAATGAAGAAAAAAAACTTTGCTTGATTAAATATGACTCCTTTATTGGGAAAAAAAGCTTTTAAAACAATACATCTGTTGTGGCCGATGGGGTATTAATGCATAAATAAAATAAATGTGTAAAAAACCTGATCATATCATGATGATATGATTGAAGTGACTGAAAGAATTGAAGCCCAAAGACCAAGTAGAATACAATTATATTGGAATTTATAATTGAAGTGAGGAGAATGATATCAAGTCATCCACAAATAGAGCTCCTAGAGAATTTAATTAGACACTCAGGCAAGACTCATCAGGTGCTATATATTCATATTTAAACCAGTTTTTCAAGAAATCAAATGCCCATCTCTATATCTTTTTTATATATATAAAAGCTGGAGCACCTGGGATAACTGTTCCCGCCTGAGATGAAGTGACACACCGGCGTATTGGTTGGTAATTAAATTACCGCTTATTACAACTCCTTAATTTAGAAAATTACTCATCTTTTAACTGAAATAACAGATAAGGAACGAAACTCAACAACACCCTCTAAGCTTGATCTATTCACTGCTGATAAGATATAAAAAGATATGTACGAACAAACAAAACAAGATGCGATAATACAAGAAGACAGTTATTAATAATCGACGAACCTCGGGATATTAGACGAACAACGTGGTACAGACTGCGCCCGAACTAAGGGAAGCGGAACTGGAAACGGAGAGAACAATATAGCGTACGACCGTCTGGCTGAGAGATAGCGGTGGAGGGATGGTAGATCGGATGAATTGGTACACTGGAGAGATCGGTTAGGTTATTCCAGATAATGGGCATGTAATTTTCTGATTGGGCCGGATCAAACAGTTAGGCCATTAACTTTAGATCATTTAACTTAACAGATACTCCATGTTAAATTATACTCCCTCCGTCCCCCTAATTTTGGTACGGAAGGGGTGATGTGATTTTTAAGAAAAGTAGAATTATGTGGTTGGTAATGAGTTGATAAAGTGAAAATAAAGTAAGAATGAATTAGAGCTACACAAATGTAACCAAATATGGCATGTGACAATAATAAATGGACATCCAAATATGGAAAAATGGGACAATTATAGGGGACGGAGGGAGTACTCTGGAAGGTAAGTTTGCTTTGTTCGGTTTCGTTTTGATAAAACAAAATGGAAAATTCTAAAATAAGACTGTCATATCTTTATTCCCAAAATAGGAGTAATTACTGTCAAGTTTGGAAAATACTGTCATATTTAAAGTCTGGTATTGCCAAAAATGGCAGTAATTAGTCCTATTTTGGGAATAAAAATATGATAGTCCTATTTTGGAATATACAGATAGTTTTAGTCGTATTTTGGGTAATTTCTCTAAAAAACTAAGAGATAATTACCTAAATAGGAGTAAAAAAAATTTGAAATTCCAAAATAGGAGTATCATGTTTTTTATTCCTTGAATAGGAGTAAATTTCTGCCAAGTTTCTCATTACTAAGATTTAAAACATGACATTTTTTCAAACTTGGCAGATTACTCATATTCAAGGAATAAAAAACACGATAATCCTATATTGAAATTTCAAAACGTTTTTGCTCCTATTTAGATCAATTTCTAGAAAAACTAAATATGGAATCGAAGTAAAAGTTCGGTTCGGTTTGAGTTCATTTTACATTTCAAAATTTGAAATCATATTTTGATTGGTTCCATTTGTTCGTTTCAGATTCAGTTTTTTGGTTTTTTACTATATTTTTTCATTTGATTTAAAATGATATGACAGTTAGGGAGGTCAAACATACTACATAGAAAATATAAGCATATTAGAACAAATAAATAAAATTACCAAAATATAAGAAATAAATATGTCTTGAATTATATGAGTATGCGGGATAGATAATACATTTTTCCAATTGTTTGGAACAAAAGTGTATATCTTCTTCATTTACATTTTTGTGACTAGTTTGAAAAAATTTCATTAGTATATATGTTTTGTTTAATATAGTTGAGATGAATATTTATTTTTTCTATTAATATAAAACTTTAAGTTACATAAAAATAAAAGTTACTAGTAATAACCAGTAAAAATATATCACAATCATGCAATCAATTGCAAAAAAATGTATACGAATTATTAAAATCATAATAGATCAATCCAGCTACATTATCATATGCAATGAATGTGTAAATGCATTTATAAGCTAAACTAAACATAACATGAAAATTAATTTTTCTAGCACAAAAAAACTAAATAGTATCGATGATATTATGATTAATGTTTAATGATTAACAAATAAAAATTCATATTTTGATTAATTTAGTTTATTCGGTTCGGTTCAATTTTGAAGGGTAAAAATCAAAATCGAACCAAACAACTATGGTTTGATTCGGTCTCTTACATCTGGTTTCATTTTTTTAGCGGTTCAATTTGATTTGGTTACGATTCGATTTATTTTTATTCAGTTTTTTATTTTTGGTTTTTTAGACTCTACCCTCACGAATATGTTATTTATATTGGTTATTTGTTGGGCATGTGTGCCGCTTGTGGCTTGGTTTTAGAAGTTGCTAGTTACATTTATTTTGATACTATTTACTTAAATTCTTTCTTTATTACTTAAAATAGTTAAAGTAGTTTTTCTCTCCTTGCACACATATCAACCACATTATTCTTATTTTATTATTCTAAATGCATGTAAAAGTTGGTCAAGTTTTGTGGGATGGAGGGAGTATAATTCAGCACGCAAGATCAAATGTTATATGTCTATATATAAAAGCAACTGGAAATATTGGTCATTTTCCCGCTCAAAACCATCTCATCAAATAAGACACATGTTGCGTGTTGAACCTCTAATACCCAAGGGTTAAACAAGTGAATTGATATCGATGAGATAGGTGTCAGTTTGGGTTTCTTTATACAGAGGAGGTCAGAAAGACTTAAAAAATATACTACTTTCGTCCTAAAATGATTCGTCATATTGACTTTTCTTGATCAACGAAAATAAACTTTTGACAATGATTTTAAATATTATATTTGTATATAAATTATAAATTTTACACTCTTATAAATATATTTTGAATAACGAACATTTTGATATAATTTTCATATTCTAAATTATTTCGTATTAAAAAGTATCACTGAGCACAGTTAGGGCTGAGCAAAACCAACCCTACCCGAAAAACCCGACCGGATTAACCCGAATTTTTAAGAATGGGTCGGTTGACCTGACCCGAATCCTTGAATCCGACCCGCCAGCCCGATTTGCTGGGCCCGAGACCCAGCGGGTAGGGTTCTCCTAATCCCTACCCGACCCGCCCGAAAACTCGACCTAGCCTAAGCCCAATTCCCCCAAGCCCTTAACCCATAACCCATAACCCAAATAACCCTTCCCTTATCCCTTCCCCCCAAATAATCCTAACTTACACTCTATCTCTAACTCTCTAAGCGACTAACCCTAACATACACTCTCTACGACTCATAGCCTCAGAGGAGTGAGAGACTCTGACTTCTCGCTTTGTCGGTCGTCGTTGCCATCGTTGTAGGGCTGTAGTCCTCAACCTAGTGGAACTGTGAAAGTCTTGATAGTCTTCTAGCCCACCATGAGTAGTCTCCAATCTCCGATCCATTCATGTTGCATAAGTAAAAGATGGATGTGTAGCTATATCAACGCAACATACCTAGACACTTATGATAGCTTTTTAAAAAATTATTTGTTATGAAATACGTAGCATATATTTACACTTATAGACACTTGTGATAAGATTGGATTAGCTTCTTCGTTGCATGCTACTAAGTTCATTCTTTATCAACATATTCCAAAAATTAAGTTATTTTGCCGGTATCTGCCGTTACAATTAATAATTCTTAATTTTAAACATTAAATATGAACTAAGTTGTAATCTTATCATATATGTTTGCAGACTTTTTAGATTAAAAGAAACAACAAAAAAGCCTTCAAGTGAAGGAACCCCATCTACGTCACTTCAAAAGATGAATTTATAGAAGTTGGGTTTACCCTGTCTCTACGAGATGTAGATACAACCAAAGCAGTATGATTGTAAACTTGATCATTGTTTACTGTGGAGGTATTGACCCATAGGCAATGGCAGCCCTCTTTACTCTTGATGTGCCTGTTTGCTTGCCTCTTGTCCTGGTCCATGTTGTTTTGCCGCTAGCCTTGTTTCTGGAACCCTCCTTTAGGGTTTCCCCTGCAGCCCTGGTACTTAAGATCCGCTTCGTCTTCTCTTGACGATGAGGTCTTCGGTTAGAGAGAGAGTGAGGTTAGAGAGAATAGAGAGAGACTCCCAGACTCTTCTTCTTCTGGTCCATTTGTGTTAATTCTCTCTGTGCTTCTCCTTTTCTGACCTTTGTCGTGCGTTGAGATGGCTGGGCTGGCCTGAGTGTTAATGTCCCTTCCGGTGGTGCTTGGTTGTGTGTTGTATGAGCGTGGTCTGAGCTGGAGAGGTGAAAACCTGACAGTGGTATCAGAGCCGGACCTCCTGTCGTCCTCGTCTACAGCCCGAGAGCTCCTCCACCGCCATCCGCCGCAGATCTCCTTTTCAGTGGTAAGTCGAGAAGCCCATCCTCGGGTTCTCGCTCAGGTAAATTGGCGATAAACACCCTAGGTAGCCGGGTGCCTCCGGTATTATGTGTTTTGGTGTTTTTTACTCGCTTCATCCCCTTCCCCGCTTTGCTTTTGCTGCTGACCTAGTTGGTCTGGCTGTCAGTTGTAACTGACGACTCCCAGGTGTGTTCTCTTTACCTTTGTGTAGGAAGTTGGTCTGCATGAGTGTTTTCTGTCCTTGCATGTTTAGATCTATGATTCGTACTGGTTTTGTGTTTGCGGGATTGAGGTTTTGAACTTGTATTCTATGCTTCTATCTCCCTTGCGTGTTTATCTCTACTTTACTGTCCTTTTGTGCGTACTTGGTACCCTTGCGAACTGGGATTTTTTGCCTCTGTGACTCGGCGCCTGAGGTTAGGACTGACAGGTTCCCTGACAGTCACTCTAGTGGCCTTCGGATCTGTGTGGCCTGTCAGCCCGCAGCCGGGTACACTGGTGAACCCTAGCTCCTTGGTTCTCTGTCTCTCTGTATGCTATCTTTCATTGACCTTGTCTTCTGCCACTGATTTTCAGTGTTATCCTTGTTGTGTTCACCCTTATGTCTCCTCCTATGTCTGTCAATATGTATGGTATGTTACCTTTTAATGGGAAAACTGATTTTGGCATTTTGAAACAAAAGATCAAATGTGTTTTAATCCAACAAAAGGTTTTGAGAGCTGAAAGTGAACTTTATTTGGATTCTGATAATAGTGCTAAGAAATCTGAAATGAATGAAACTGCCTGCTCTACTATTTATCTTAACCTATCTGACTATGTGCTTAGAAAGGTTGGTATTTTAGATTCTGCTAAAAAGTTGTGGGATAAGTTAGATGAGCTTTATACTGACACCTCTCTGCCTGGTAAACTGTTTTTGTTTGAAAAGTTCTTTCGGTTTAGGCTAGACCTAACCAAAGACATTGATGAAAACTTGGATACTTTTAATAAGTTGATCCAGAACATTAACCAATTTGGTGATAAGCATTTGATGATTATACTGCTGTTGTGTTGCTTAATGTTATTCCTGATTCTTATAATGATGTTAAATCTGCTATTAAATATGGTAGAGATGATGTCACTCTTGATATTGTTGTGAATGGCCTTAAGAGTAAAGAGCTTGATCTTAAACATAATAGGAGTATCTCTAGTCAATCCAAGGATTCGGGTGAGGCTATGTTTGTGAGGGGTAGATCTAAGAGTAGGTCTAAGAATCAGAAAAAGGACGCCCAAGCTAAAAATAGTAACCCAAATGGTAAGAAGAGGAATAAGTCTAGAAAA